AAGCCAGACGATGACTTGAACCAGCCAAAAAAAACCGTTTTATGTACAGGGTGAGATGAAAACCCTGACTATTGTGAGATACCGCAGAGCAACATTCGGGCTGGGTGTGACGGTTTCATTGGCCGTTTGAAGGCCCATAATTCGTGTCAAAGGCGACCAATTCGAACAAATCTAAACTTAATCTAAAATTTGATGCCATTTCCGACATTTATTGCTTTCATTCAGGGTAAAATTAAAAGGTAAAGTCATTTCAAATAAGCATTCCCATCTCTGCATTTTCCGTAACTTACCATGTCAAATTTTACTGCATAGAAAATAGTTTCCCACCTCTGATTTGTGTGTATAAAATATACAAACGTAAATGTTAACAATGAGATGTTGTCAAATGAATAATTTTGAAAAAAGTTTTTGTCAAATGATTGCATGACCTTACCTTCTTAATTTTACCATGCTTTCATTCAATAAAATTAAAAAAAATTTAAAAATTATGGCGTTTGACTTTGTTGCAGTTCTTTTATCTCACCCTGTATATATTTAAGTCCAAGAATATATAAATAAACTTGGTATTCCTAAGATATGGAACACATAACTTTTTTACGTGCCAGGGAAGACTGAAAATAAAATAGTATTTATTATTTTTGTAAAATCTGCCACTCGTCGTACGAAAATATTTTAGATATGATAATAGATTTTATTTGAAAAATGACAAGGTCGAGTTGCCATATTCAATTTAGCAAATGAGTTTACCCCTTTTTGGTTTTGCCATGGGGTTACTGAAAGAAAGCTTTGTTTTCCCAAATGAAATTTCAATTTGGATTCATTTAACAAATACCCTACAGAAAATAACTGTTCAAATTTACTTCGTTAAATATATTTTGAATCTATTAAAACATACCAAAGTCCTTAAGGTGAGAGTGCATAAAAGACTTTTTTTGACTGACTTAAGTCATTGGCTGGCTTCTTTGTAAAATAACAAAGTAGCTTAAGGCAAAAATCGAACTAAGTGAACCTTAAACTCCTTTGTTACTCTACGAAAATTGGTTTATGTATTCTCACCTTTCAGTATTTCAATTTATGACATTGATTTCCGCTATTTAAGATAACTTAAAGACCTTCCTGGACCAAAAATATTCCAATGGCAACAGGTAAAGGCTCAAAACAAAAGATAGTGTGAATCTGACAACAGTCGCATGCATACCACAATAACAAGAAACACAAAACCAAAAACCCACCATAAATATTTGCACTGGAAATTTCACAATAAACACATATAATACCCAAAATATTTTTACATTTTTTGGTGTGAAAAGTGAATGGAGTTGACCGTACAGCAGCAGGGGCAGTATGTCTGCTTGTCAGAGATGTCTTTCCACCAAGAATGGTCATGCGTTTTGTTGTTGCATTTAAGAATCTGGCTGCTCTGGGGTATTGTTTGTTTGCTGGCATGGCCAGTGAAACATGAGCATTTTATAATTTAATTTATAAAATAAAGGAAGAATACAGTTCTGATGTATGTATGAGTGTGTGTGTCATTTTGAAAAAAGCAGCTCCAAATGAGTGACCAATTGCAGAATATCAACAAGGTTCAACAGGATAATGAATGAAAGGCATATTATTTCTACCTTAATGTACTACCGCAACAGCAAGGATAACAAGGATATTTCCAACAACTATAACAACAATTTTCGTGTACGCATTTTTGCAAATTGATTTGTTTTTTTTTTCAGTTTAAACTCATACATACCTTCTTTCCTTCCTCTTCACGTGACCTTTATACATTATTTACACATATACAAAAATGTGTTGCTGTATTTATTTACAAATCTACAACATATCACACTGTATATGAGTTCACACATTCATTCATCCATACATAAATATATTTGTGTAAGTTTTCATTAATATGAATGAGATTGCCTTCAGTATGGCACAGGAGCATTACATGCCTACGTTTTTGTTTCTTTGCATTTAATTGAATATCAAATTACATTGTGAGTGAGAACATACATATGTGCAGTACCACCTTGCTAGGTTTATTTATAATTTGTACTTTTCTCCAATTTGTTTTTCGAAAAAAGAAAACGTACCACATGACTTTATAATTGTTGGACCTGCTATGATAATGGTCATAAATTCTTATAGGAATTTTGTATTTTAATTGCAAATGGCATTGGTCGAATGTGAAATAAAAAAGAGAGGGAGAGAGAGAACACAAAAAACGAGTAACGAAAGGTTATGGTTTTTAATTAGACAAAAAAAGTAAATCCAATGGCAAAAAGGAGTCAGGTGCCGATTCATTTGCACTTCATTGCCACAATTAAGAGTGTTGGGACCATTTCCCAACTTTACTGAGGTTGACCACCACGGATGCATAACCCTTCTGGCCAACCTTTCTACCATCAACGAATTCCCTTTGCAACGATTTAACCTTGCGTCTCTGGCTATAGCCGACTTCTTTCTCTGTTGTTTATAAGCAACTTAAACATCTTACCCGTGATGCACCAACAAAACAGAATTTCTCTAATTTACGGTAATTGGTATTTTTGTAATGATCTCTCATCCTTGCTCCACAAGAAATATTCTCCAACATATAAATGATACGGGCAATATTTTACATCAACAGCATAATCTAGCTGCAATAATTATTCGCACCTTCTCCTCGAGTACTAATCCATCCAATTGTCTATATTTTACTGTGGCTCCACAAATATGTTATTCTAAAAAAATACTTTTTTCCTTATATAATATTAATTTATTTATTAATGCTCCAATAAACATTTCTCATTGGTTGCAAAAAATGGTCTGACTAATTACAAATGAGTTCTTCTATGCCTTTTTTCCTGCACGGATCAAATTCTATTCCTTTTAAAGTTCATAGCTCTCTTTCTCACTGTTATGGGATTGTTGTTATTATTGCTCAAATCATATTTATGCTAGTGAAAACGGTATTCCTAATCAATACTGGTTTTTCTATAATTTGCATAACAAGAGAGAGAGAGAGAGAGAGTAACAAAGGAGAAAGAATACCAGTGAACAGTGTTTATGTGGGGTATGTTCAGTAAAAGCTACAGTGATGTTGCGTTCCTCACATAAACAAAAAGAGTTAATAATAATTTACGGTCATAAAATTGCTGTTATGGACTGAATAATGAGGAATTTTACTTGAAAATATGATGTATGCCAAAATCCCATAGGTGTATGAACAAGCTATAAGTTAGATGGCTAAGGAGATCAAAGTAACGGGTTGACTTATTTTTTGACTAATTTTTCTTAAAAATACGATGCATGCGAGAATGACGAATTTTACTTGAATATATGATGTCTGCCAAAATCACACAGGCGTATGAACATGCTATAAGTTAGCTGGGTAGGGAGTCCAAAGTCACAGGTTGATGCTTTATTGACGTACTTTGCTTTATAATATGATGTCTGTCAAAATCACTCCGGCGTATGAACATACTATAAGTTAAGTGGGTAGACATACTAGATTCACAGGTTGATGGTCCACCTTGATAAACAAGGTATATTACATGGTAGAAGAATAAAGGTAGACGCATCGACACAGCTGCCGGGACAATGTACTGTCAAAACAATTTTGGAATTGAAAATGTTGAATGAAAAATTATTTAAATTTGCGAAAATCGTTTAAAAACGCGAGTTATAAAAACCTCCGAATGACGTCGTATTAGAAAGCATATAAAATCTATTTGAATTTGAAAAAACATTTAAAATTTTTGACATATCTATGTTTCCAAGCGTTGATGCATCTACCTGTATTCTTCTACCACGGTATATTAACTTTGGCATTCCGTTTTTAACATCTTTAAATATTTCTCGGTATTGGGAAGATGCTGCCAACATTTTGATGGATTTTTATTCTTAAAGACTGGCCTGAAATAAAACGTTATTCGAGGGCTAGAGAGGAACTGACAGTACCGATAAAGTTTTCTCCAAATAACGACTCTTAAATCTTTTTATATATGTTCTTACGTTTCAAGGAATACTGAAAATAATAGATTATTATTGTTGAAAAAATGCCAACCGTCATACGTAAATATTTCAGATATGAAATTATTTTTTTTGTTTCACTGCCTTTACACGGTGACATTTTTGCATGGCATTTTTATCAATTCTCTTTTAAAATTTCTGCGTAAATCTTCGCGCCTTTACACGATGGCATTTTACGATAATAGTGCTTGGCATTTTTTCTGACATTTTATTTTATTCAGTATTTCGTATCGAGCTAATTGTTTGTAACAGATATTTATAAAGAAGTGATTTAAAATTAAACGTGTGAATCTAGAGAAGAAATGATGGATAAAGTTATTGAGGTGTTAAATATTGCATTATTAACTTTTATTTTAACTTTCTTTTTTTACTTTTTAATACTTCCAATTAATTTTCATAAAATTCACTATACAATTCAATCACTAAAAACATCACATCACAATAAAAGAAACGCATCAAAAATTACAATAAAGAAACGATATGAAATGTCAAAATCATAAAAAATTCGGAAGAAGCAAAAAGAGAAATGCAAAGAAAATGGCATGTAACCCTGTGCGGTGGCTTATCGTGCCATTTTTTCTTCTATCCTTGTCTCTCTACACAATTTACCAACAAAAAAAAATGGCATGGTTAAAAAATGTCACCGTGTAAAGGCAGTGTTTGAAATATGACACGGTCGTGTGCATCAGAAAAGGGTTGCCATATCCGTTGTAGCAAATGAGTCTATCTCTAAAGTTTTGCCATGGGGTGGTTCTTTAAATACAACGCAGCTTATGACAGTTGGCACACATGGCAATTTCAAGCATTTCAGTGACAGTAAAGAAATAATTATAATTTTCTTATTTTATAAAGTGAAGACTTGAATTGAAATATGCACCACATTTATTAAACGTTTAAAAAAATGCATTTTTTTATAAAATATGAGCCAAATGTAAAAATATTTATCTTTAAAGACACAAAATTAATTAATTATATTTTCGCCTTCTTTCCAGGTCTGGTTTCAAAATCGTCGTGCCAAATGGCGTAAAACCGAAAAATGTTGGGGTCATAGTACAAAAATGGCTGAATATGGTCTGTATGGTGCAATGGTGCGGCACTCACTGCCCCTCCCCGAGACAATTATCAAATCTGCCAAAGAAGATGAATCGGTAGCACCATGGCTCTTGGGAATGCATAAAAAATCCCTTGAAGCCGCTGAAGTTTTAAAATCCGATGACAGCGATCGTGAAACTCCCACATCGGATGATACGAATACCTCTTACTCGGCGGGCAGTACTCACAATTCACCGATTTCCTCCTTTTCTATATCTCGATTATTGTTCGATAACAGTAATGCCAATCATCATCATCACCATCCACATCATGGCCATCACCATGGTAGCAAACACAAAGGGCATTCGGGACATGGTGGCGGTAATGGCCTATCATCTTTATCCCATGACATTATGACAAATGCCCATCATAGCTCGGCAATGCAACATCATCCCTATAATCAACAACAACATTTACATCATCTGCAGCAATTACATCAACAACATCAGCAGCATCAACAACAGCAGCAGCAGCAACAACACCAACATCAGCTAATGATGGCCGAAGCTGCAGAATTGCAACGTAGACGCCAGGAGGAATATCAAAGGGAACAACAACATCAGCAACAACAACAGCATCAACAACAACAGAAATCCTATGATGATGACGATCTCATTACCGATCCAGATGTTGATCCCGAAGATGATGATGATGACTGTGATAAAGAAGAAATCGATATCTGTGATGATACCGAGGAGGAGCAAATGAAGGATTTGAAAATGATCAAACGGGAAGAGGTTGAAAATAGATGAAATTTATTTATTGATGTTCTACTGTAAATTGACGAAGAAGAATAGTTTCTTTTTTTTTGATGTAGAAATATCTAAAAGAACAGAAAAGCGTTCCAAAAGTTTTAACTAATTTTTAAATCGGGGCTGGTTCCCATTTAAAAAGACGTAAGTCATTCTGGAAAGTCATTTTACTGGTATGGACGTGTTTCTAATTCAAAATGGAAGTCACGTCGAGAAAAACATCTTTGATCAAACTATGAGTCAGCTGATTGATGTCATTTAAGTCAACTCTTTAAATTAGGCGTATGACCCAAGGCAAATATCTCATGTTTCTAGTTCGAATTGGGAAATTAAAAGCCGATGGCGGCAAAAAGCACTCCATTTGATAAAAACAAAACTAGTAAAAAAGCTATAAGTTCGGCCCAGCCGAACTTTGAAAACCCTCCACCATTTGGAACGAATATGGCAATCTTCAAAAAAATAAAATCCGTTAAAAATTCTTTTAAAATCTTAAAAATACCGAATGTAGCCGTTATATTAGGGTCTATTCAACAACGTGGGCCTGCGTAGGCAACTTTTGTCATAAGCCATTACAATACTGAAATGTCAAACTTGAAAAAAATCGGTAAATAATGTAGCTAAAGTCATCAAAATGCCGAATATAGGGAGGTACCATCATATGGGGATTATACCAAAACGTGAACCTGCACAGACAATTTTTTGTCATAGGCTGTAGTATCCATTACGAATTTCAAATACCAAATTTGAAACAATTCCTGTGAATAATGTCGCTTAAATCATCAAAATATTCAATATCGGGTTGTAACGTTATATGGAGGCTAAACGAAGACGTGAACCCCCACATACAGTTTTCTGCCTCAGGCTGCAATATCCATTAAAACTTCAAATACCAAATTTGAAATAATTCCGGCAAATAATGTCGCTGAAATCATCAAAATACCGAATATCGTGGGGTAACGTTATATGGAGGCTATACGAAGACGTGGCCCAGCACAGACAATTTTCTGTCATAGGCTGCAATATCCATTACGAACTTTAAATACCAAATTTGCAACAATTCCGGTGAAAAATGTCGCTTAAATCATCAAAATACCGAAAATAGAGAGGTACCATTATATGGGGGCTATACCAGAATGTGAACCTACATGGCCCATTTTCAATAGCAAAAATCCTGCAAACATAATATACATTTGAGTAAAATTTTATCAACCTACTTCATTTCATTCGGAAGCTAGGGTGATTTCCACAGATGGAAATCAAATCAAATGCATAGTCGGAACATTGCATAAATTCACAGTTAGCGATTCTTTTATGACAACGTATGTCTACTGTTTTATTATTCTATTTCTTTCAACGTCCAGTAATTTGATGGAGACATAATGAAATTCCGTTTTTATAAAATGCATAGTAGGAACATTGTATAACTTTATTGCAAACGACTCTATTATGACAACGTAAGCCTAGTGTCAAATGTCAAAATTAAGGATTCAATTCATTTGCAAGCACATTGTTCCCAAAGTATATTATTCAGCATTAACTGCATGGTAAAAGAATACAGGTAGACGCATCGACACAGGTGAGGGGACAATGAACTGTCAAACCATTTTTAGAATTGAAAATTTGGAATGAAAAATTATTCAAATTTGTAAAAGTGGTTGAAAAACGCCTGTTATAATAACCTCTGATTGACGTCGTATAAGGAAACTTATAAAAATCTACTTATATTTGAAAAACATTTTAAAAATTTTGACATATCAATGTTACCAAGCATTAATGCTGTTTTCCTTTACCATGAACGTACGCCTACTCACAATTTTGTATTAGTATTCTATTTCTTTCAACTTCCAGTAATTTGTTGTTATGAAGTGCATAGGAACATTGTATAACTTTACTGCAAACGACTCTGTTATGACAACGTGAGCCTAGTGTCTAATGTCAAAAATAAGAATTCGATTAATAATAATAGTTGCAAACGATTGATCTTATCATAAACTGGGCAAATTTACACAACTAAGCTGCACAAAAAACAAAACTAATTTTTAACCCAAAACAAAAAATTATAAAACACAACGAAACTCTTTTTTTCAACACAGATAGAAAATGAGCAAATATATATTAATTTCTTGAAAATTTTCACAAAACATGTAAATAACGTTCAGTGTAAAAAAATATTAGCATAAAATTATAAAACAAAATGCACAAAAACCGAGAGAAAATAAAACAAAACAATATTGTATAATTATTATATGTATATGTATGAATAAATAAACATTTTTAATCAGCTCATTGTGATTTTAGTTTGTTAATTAATTAATTATTTTTTTACATTATTGCATTTAACAGCAATCAAATGATTTTTAAAAAAACCACACACATACACACTCACCAGTACATGGCATTTATTACCTTTTACTTTACCACTTGGTTTTGAGATAAATACCAATTAATATTGTATTATAATTGCAAATCAAATGATACAAAAAAAAAACTTGAACCAAACTGTCAACACAACATCATAAAGCATTTTTATTGCAAGAACAAAAAAATCAATACTTGAATTTTACTAAAGCCAATAAAGCACAATATTTTATAATTAAATAAGCAAATCATCAAGAGACAGACAAATTAAAAACTAATTATAATGTTGTATAAAACCCTTTCTTTTTTGTCTTAGCTTTAAAATATCCTAGGAATCTCTTTTAGCTCATAATTGTTTAAAAAATATATAAATACTAAATTGAATGTGTAATATATATTATATAGTATATTTAAAATATTAATTAATATAACATCTAGATTTTATTATAAATATGATATTAGAACATGAAAACAGATAACGAATGAAAAAAAAACAAATCTCGCTATGATCAAAAAAATAAACATATAAATACATATGGAAATGAAAAATGGAGTGTTTTATTAATTCAATCACATTTTAGGGGGAAATAGTTAGCTGGAATCACGAATTTATTTAATAACCTAGAACACGTGGTTTGAATCATTTCGATGGGTAGGAACATGGTATGAATCACTTGGATAGGGTACACAAAATCGAATTTTCGTTTTTAATAATTTTCATAACTTATGAAGATTTGTCACTGAAATACACCAACAATGAATCTAAATAAAACATTTCGAAATAGATATGATAATGTATTAACGATACCCTAAGTTAGAAAACAAAAAATAATTTCAAATTTTGGAAAATTTGACACAACCTTTAAATACATATGGAAATGATGGAAAATGGGGTATTTTAATAATTCAATCACATTTTGGGGGGAAATAGTTGGCAGGAATTTCGAATCAATTTAATAATCCAGGACACACGTTTTGAATCAGTTGGATGGGTAGGAACGTGGTATAAATCACTGGAATAGGGTACACAAAATCGAATTTTGTCTTTAATTCGATGGTAAAAGAATACAGGTATCGCATCGACACAGCTGCTGGGACAATGAACTGTCAAACCGATTGTGGAATTGATGATCTTAAATGAAAAATTATTGAAATTTGTAAATATTTGATAGTCTGATTTCTTTATATTTGGCTGGAAAATGTAATGTACACGGTTTAAATTTTCTGATCTAATGCATTAAAAACTTTTAAGTCTTAGAGCCTTTGGTTATGAGGACTACGGGAGCCATTGAGTTGGTAGCTACAGTCGGAATGGGGGGGGGGGTGTTGTCCTACTAAACTCAAAGGCATGTCTGTTTACAGCTATTAATATAGACTCCCTAAATAAAATAAATATTAAACTGAAATATGGAATAATTTAAAATAAATTAACATAATTTAATCAAAACCCCATAACAAAAATTAAAATTGAAATAGATCGTTAAAAGTAGTTGTTTTAATCTGTCACCTATATAGAATTTAAAGTTCTCCGATGTTATGAGAATTGGCCTCTAAACCCTCGCCAACCATTGTCCAAAAATGGCAATGTTTTCTTTGGACCCCAAATTTAAAAAACCTTCAAACTATATAGCCAGCCCTATTAAGATAACGTCTTCTTAGAAATTTAGAAATTCATATTGAATTCATATTGAATTTATTCACATTATATACAAAGATGATTAAACTTAAACGTATTTAAAATATACAGAATAATACTAAACGCATAAAGTTACAATATCATAATTTCTTTTCTGCCCCTGAATGGGATAATTCATGTTGTATAAATAAGAAATACAATTTTCACCACAAGGGAGAATTTGAATAAATGTAAGAGAATTGAACTTCGAGAAATTAATATCAGAGTGTACTCTCAACAAACAAAGAGAATACATTAAATTAGATCTCACTTAATTATTCAACTTTACCACAAACAATACAACAAATTTATCAATGATGTTCTCAATCACTTACCACGCTCTCCTGTATTGTTGAAGGCCTTCTCCAATAGCTGGATGCTGGTTCATTTTGATCTGTGAAATTAGTGTGTTTGTTGTTGGTGGTAATGATGTTATCTCATGCGATAAAAATAAAAATATGATGATAATGAATATAGGTACTAAATATTTTGCAGCATGATATACACTCAAAGACTAAATTGTGTTAATTTAAAAAGAAAAATTATTTTTACCATAGTAATAGATTTTGATATGAAAAAAAAACAATTTATATCTTTGAATACATGTCATGTGCGTATATATAGATAGATTGAGGGAATTATCAATTATACTTATTTTATATCATTTGGGTAAATTGTAATTATATTTTTAAATAAATCCGGTTATTGTTGATATGAATCTATGTAGATCCCATGATTTCCAAAAATGTGGTTATGGTGTATATTCTGTATTGCTGGTCGATCATTCGTTTTGGACGACTGCATGTGTTGAAGCAGGTGAATTCTGACCACAAAGAGGGATGTCAGGATGTAAAACAAAATATCCTCAGAATTCCACTATCAGATTGGGAATAGTTTCAGACACCCAAAACGTAATCTTAGGATATAGCGGGTTTTCAGAACTTCACAAGAACTTCGAGTCAGCAAGAAATCGTAATAGCGTTATATGTCTTGTTTGGTTACGTTCAGGCAATATATATATATTTATTGGTTACTGTCAGAGTTAACCTCGATGGGCTTATTTACAGAAAGGTTTCTTGTTCCAACAGATGTTATGTTATGTGTCGATGATCTTAGTTAAAGGCAGGGTTTTTGTTCACAACATCCACGATGAAGCTATATTTGATCTTCAGCAGACGTCTGCCAGTCGGGTTACGGAATTGGAATAATTGTGCACGAGAGGTTTGTTGATGTTTATGGCACGCCAATAACCCTGTGGCCAATATGGTCCGTTTATAGCCTGGTTATTTGTATCGTCAGAAATCACCAATTTGGAGTTATTTAGGGTTTCCACAATATATTTTAAAAAAAGGGAGGATACTGATTCCAGTGGCCAGGTCACGTTGTGTTGTCGCAGAGCCAATTAATATTTTTTTCAAAAATCACGTAGGAGCAACGCGAAATATATTTTTTGAAGAAAATTTTATCACTTTAAAGTTGATTTAACAACGGGATGCAAATGATAAATGTCGATTTTTTATAAGGATTTTTCGTCTGCTCACGTTCAAGATTTAATAGAAAAGAAAGATTATTTTACTTGAAAGGCTTAAGCTATTAAGTTAGCAGCAGAAAAATGTCAACAAAGAGAAGAATAAAGTTTTGTAGTTATCGTTTTTGGTAATGTTGCCAGCTTCGAATAAGGTCTAATCGATGTATATACCACATTTAAAAGAAACAAAATGTATTATTTTGATGAAAATAAAGCTGTAGATTACGAATAACCACATCAGAAAATTGTTTTGAGTGTATTTCTAGTTAATAGAAGTGAATTAAATTGTGATCGGTAGTGTAATTTTATTACTAGTGGAGACTCAAACCATTACTATACTACTGAGGTGAGTATAGTAAGTGGGATATCAATGAAGAGAAAAATGAAATTTATGAATGAAATGTCAATGCGAATCAAAACAAAAACTATATTGATAGAAGAATAGACTGACATAGAGAAAATACGCATTTGTGGAATTTGGGCGTGAAATGTCTCTCAAAATTTTTATGAATTAACTGAATAGTAATGTGAAATAAAGTGGACAATCGAGTATTTAGTTTGGTTTCAGACACCAAAGAATGGAAGGTGTACGGAATGTCGGATAAAACTTAGAAGCAAAGCTCTGGCCGATTGTGGAGTTATCCTAAATCCGAGTGTGTGAAAGACGTGTATAAGAAATAAGAAGAATAAGATTATCAAAACAAAAAGATTTATATTGGGTAAAATTCAATTGTGAAATATATTATTTTAAATGGCTAACTGAGACTGATTTTGTCCAAATAAAAATGTGAGGATTTAAATTAAATATTTAATTTTAAGTGCCTTTTAATAATGCTAGCATTTCCAATCCAGATTTGGTATCTTATTTTAATAATTTTATTTTCAGTAAAAAAATTATATTGCCCACTTTGTAAGGGGATTGTGGATAATAGATGTAATAAAAATTATTTAATAATCTTTTGGCTGTTTGTATAAAACGTCCCTTACAAACCGGATAATTGGCTAAGATTTTCGAAAGCCAATTAGATGGAATAGACGTTTTTAGGATCTCATATCTTTACCGTGAAAGGTACCAATTAGTTTGCCTTCCATGTCTTCGAGAATATAGTACTGTTGGCCTAATTTTTCTCTGATTTTGGCTTTTAAAAACATTGGTGCCAGTTTGGCATTAAAGGCTTTTTCTTGGGAACTTTGAGCGAAGTTTCGCCTATAAACAATTTGACCAACTGAGAAATTTTGTGGTCTCGCTCTGAGGTTGTAAGTCGCTTGGTTCCTATCATAAGCTTGCTTGATGTGCTTAACTATATCCTGCCGTATGATTTGAAGTTCATCGTCATTAGACAAAGATACAGAAGGTTCATTTAATAGTTTTAATTTTCTTAGTAAGTCGTACGATGAAGCATGGGTGATCATGTCAAAGCCATATAGAGCATGATATGGCGAGCACTTAGTGGATTGGTGGATAGAATTCCTCAGAGCGCAACTAATATGGCTCAGTTTCTCATCCCACTGGCGTTGGTCCTGTTTAAGATACGCTCTTATTCCTGCTATCAACGAACGATTGACTCGTTCCGATGCATTGGATTGAGGTGAATATAATGCGGTGTAGGTGTGACTGATTCCATAGGATGTGAGAAAAGCATTTAGTTCGTTTGAGCGAAATTGGCTGCCATTATCGCTTACAATAGTCTCGGGAACCCCGTAAACATGGAAAATTTGTTTTTGAAGGAAATCTTGTATAGCTGAGGCCGAGAACTTCCGAAGAGGACATAACCAATGGAATTTTGACAAGTGGTCTAGGACAATAAAAATTCCAATATTTCCAGATTTACTTCGGGGATAGGGTCCCAATATATCTACGTACAATCGCTGGAAAGGACGTACGGATTGGTTTTGCTGACCCATGGGAGGCTTCATAATAGTGTTCGGGGCTTTAACGGTTTTACATATGTCGCAGTTACGGACATACCCCCTGACATCCAAAACCATGCCAGGCCAAAAGAATGTACGTCTCAACAGTTCAAGGGTCTTTGTCATGCCTCCATGAGCTGCTTCAGGGGAATCGTGAAATCGGGCTATAATCTGTTTGCGTAAATTTTGGGGAATCCATAACTTCCAACTTTGTTGCTCTTGAGACGGATCGCCAGAATAATGCTCCGCCCGAAAGTAGACATACTTGTCAACGAGTTTTATGTCGGGGTATTTATTAGGGTTCTGGGAAACAAGTTGTTTAAGCTCAACATAGTCCTTGTCCTCGAAGCACGGGGAATCTAAGTCAATAACTGGATCATCCTCTAGACCTGAAACT